GGATTTAGTTTAACCTAGTAATTCAAACTGCTTCCAATTTTTGTTTCAAAATTTGATGGGTCTTTATTTTAAGAGTATTCCTATAATAGGTTGTTTAATTTTATTTTAAATTATTTAAATAACTTATTTACTTGTTTGGTTTTGTGGAAGAAAGTAACTTTGGTTTGGCAAAACTTTGAGGTAAATTTGGAGACGCTAGCTACATACTGTAACCTGGTGCCTTCTTTCTCTTCAGCCAGTGTGTATATGCTACTTACTAGGACTTAGAAATTTTGCTGTTGCTCAGAAATAGGATGTCTTCAGTGTGTACTTACATGTCTGTCAATTGGTAAGAAATGTCTAATGGAGTTAAAAATTCTCCGAAATTGCTATGTTGTGAACTTTAAATAAAGAGCCAAGGCAAAAATTATAGCGCTTCATCCAAAAGTAATGCATAATATGGGATGAATTCCCAAAGTTAGAGTGATGAAACTAGAGATAGAATTCCCTTCTTTATTGAAATGTTGATGTTTGAGTAGAAGAATGGAAATTACTTATTTTAGGCTTGACATTTTACCCTGAGTGTATAAAAAGTCTTCAGAAGATAGAGTGCGATCCTAAATATTCTATTTCAGAAGTACACAGTATAATTTACATGTTTTATTGTGCTTTAAAATTAATCTTTTTCCTTTCTTGCATGTGTCTTATAATCTGTTTTAAATTTCTTATTCGAAATATTTGGGCTTCCTATTTCCTACAATTCAGAAGAGAGGAAACTTTTATATTTTCTCTAAAATATGTTTGGAAATTTTAGATAGTTTTCTTTTGTGCTATGTGTTCACCTTGTGAGTTGAAAAATGTTGCGATAGACAGGGATGGGCAAAATGGAAAGAAAAAGAAAGGAATGGAAGAAAGAGGGAGAAAAATAGAATGGGGACTGACCTATGCTGTCCTGTTTTCACTTTGCAAATAGCATTATCTCTGACCTGGATTATTGCTATGTTCTCCTGTCTGCTACCAAAGATCTATTCTCTACGTAGCAGTCTGAATTATCATTTAAAAATGCATATCGAATAATGTTTAAAATTCTTTAATGGTTTTCTCTTAAAGTAACATTCAAACTCTTTACCTCGCCTACAAGTGATCAGTCTTGCAACTTCTAAAATCTCTCTCTTTAGTCTCTGCTCTGCTTTTAAAACATGTCAATACTCTTCCCACTTAAAGTCCCTCCTTTGATTTGAACTTTTTTTTTTTTTTTTTTGGCTGTAACACTAGTTCTCCTGTTCTTATCATGACTGGCTTCTCACAATTTAGATCCCAGTTCAAAACTCCCATTGCAGAGAGACTTTATTTAATTTATCTGAAGGAGTTCTGCTTCCATTCCAACCCCAGAGAGCTCTTACATTATTGTTTGCTCATTTATTTCTTCAATGCTTTTAGCACAACCTGAAATCATTTTCATTAAAGATTTATTTTCTTGAGACTTGTCTCCTTTGATGAGACTATAAACACCTAGAAAGTGAGGTTTTTATTCTAGCCATGTGTGTATTCTAATTGACTATCATGGTGTCTGGCACAGATTCAGTGCAAAAAAAATTTTTTCTGAAGAAGTGAAATAAAGAGTTTCGGTATTAGTATAGTACTGGGCCTATGTGTATTTTCTTGAATAAGAGGATGGTATATAAGAAAACTTCTAGAAATTCTCTTAAAACTTCTGGGAAAAGCTTTGCATGAAGATTTGAGGAAGTTATGCTACAAAGATAGGGTTGGGGGCCAAAGAATCCTGGAGGTTCTTGAATGTCATGATGCATAATTTCTGGAATCTCTTTTGTGGTCAATGGATAACTACTGAAGTTTTCTAAGTACTTTTGAAATGTTCCTTTATTACTAGCTATGGAAAAACATTTGCATGTCAGAAGAATCTCATTCACTCACCAGTGGACGGAGTAACTCCCGAATGCCAGCAAGGTGTTGATTTAATCAGTGTCCCCCGCCCCGCCCCCCCGCCCCCATGCAACATGACTGTCACATACAGTTGTGCTTCTGGGCTGCCAGAAGAAAATATTTGTATTAGTTCTTCACAGACTGAGATAAAATGATCCAGTGCTTCTTGAAGGCTCAGTGGTGCAGTAGAATTCCTTAAAACTGTGGTACCATCTTGTCAGATCATTTCATTTTCCTCAGTTCTTTATTTTACAATTTATTTTTCTAAGGCATAGAGTTAACTTCACATTAGTTATCCTCTCCTGTGGTTTGTTTTATTTTGGTCTTAAGGGAAATCCAGTTTGGAGCCTTTAAATGCAGTTTGCCTTTTGTTTGTTTTAATGGAGTAGTGGGTAGATCCTTCCTTAGCTGAAACCTAGTACTTACAAGGTCTTGTAATAACCTCCATACAATAATACAGCATTATATGTAACATACACATGTTCACCTGGACTTTTCCTACCACTTTAGCTGTGTGTATCTAATTTCTAAAATGGAGTACAAAGATATCAAGCTTCCAGTTAAAATAATTGCCCGTTTTATAGACTTTGGCAACCAATTCTAGTTTCCTGAACTGGTTTACGATAATTTAAAAGCCTTGGCTAGTTCATGAATAAGTTTTATGGTTTAACTTTAAGTCATGAAATCTCTTGATACTTATATTGGAGATGATGGTATTATGTTCCCTAGTGGGTAATAAATGGGGATAGCACCAAATAAGCAAAGAAAAAAACAATGTGGTCAAATTTTCAAGAGCTACTGAATCACATTCATTGATGATCATCAGTACTGGAAGCTCTCAATGGGGATAATGACTCCCGAGATGTTGTTAAACTTGTATCCTTTTATTATAGTATAGCTGACGAAGCATATTCACATGTAGTATACCTTTTGATTTGTGTGTAAAAGACGTGCAGCAGAGTATGCAAGTACAGTAGAGGAACAGGAATAAGGTGGTATTGTAGTACTTGACTATAGACATAGGGTTGAGGAGGAGATGATCTCTTAGAGAATTTAAGTTCAGCCTTATAGAATATGTCAGATTCCAGTAAGAAAAGACCAGGTGACAAAGGATCTCTAGGTTAGTGGAATCACCTGAAAAAACATCAAGGTAGGAAAGTAAAAAACATAAAATTGATTTATGTTCTGTGAACTTTAGTGGCTGGTGCTATAGAACCAGAGTATATCAGTGCTAATCTGTTTTGTTTATAATGTATAGTTTGACTTTTAACTAGAGGCAGTTTCCACCAACCCCAAGAACCTTACTATATTCTCATAAATTATGATTCTGTGAGAGTTATAGACTGTACCCATCATTAATGAGAACATATTTACATCCTTGAAACTAATATCTGATTTATAAGTTGTATTCTATTGTTTATTTTATTAAGGTTTTAGTGATTTCCAAAGAACATTTGTATATGTTACACAATTAAATCCTTCCGAAATCCTATGTAGTAGGTAGTGGTATGGGGATTTTATGGGCATTTTTCTTAAAGGAGAACTGAGGCTCAAATGCTTAAATGACTTTTTCCAGGTTCACTTGATCAATTTAGACACCCAATTTAGAAGCTATTCTTTTTCTACATACTTGTTACTATATTGCTGTCCAAAAAATTCATATTTATCTGTGTCAGTATTTGAGAAATTGAGAAACGAGGTCCAAAATTAGTGATTTTGACTGACAGAATAATTCTGGAAGCACAGAATTGAGAACAAAGGTAAAAGTGGCAGAGAAAGCTGATTTCAGACAAGATTTAGGGACAGGAAGACCAGTAGCTAAGCATATGTAAATTCAAGGGGAAAAGGGAATGTTTTACTATTATTAGACAAATGTAAGCATGTTAGGTCTTGAAATAGGGCAGTTTATGTTTTCTGTGGTGAGGGCTAAACTTTATATATCACGAGATAGCAGTGGCTGGGGACTTGGGAACCTTCTAATTCTTTCTAGATCTTTCTAGATCTTTCGATGTCTTTCTAGATCTAATACTTGAGTGGCCAGACTATCAAAAGCATACTCAGTTGGATTTTATATGCCGTTCCATGATTTTATATTTACTTATTTAATAACAATGAGTTTTTATTTCTTTATGCTTTAAAATAGATTGGACATAATTTAGATTTAGCATGGAAAAGACTATTAATGTAAATATTCATTTTTCTGATGTGGGGTAGATAGATCTGCCCACAGATATTCTCCATAACTAATGCATAGGGTAAAATGTCTTAAATTGAGTAAATTTAATTCCAATTTGTTTTTAAAAAAATGCAACACTGCATGTTACATGGAGAGCAGTGTATTAAGTGGTTTAAGAGGAGATTTATAGTGTCTATGTAGTGGTTATTAAAAATTCTTCCTTTTGCATTAATGAGAACCAAAGTTGTAAATTTGGAATCAAATACCTCAGTCAAAGGAGTGTGGTAGAACACTTTATGTGCTCTATTTAGCATCTCTTATGTGGTAGAATAACTTATTCCTTTTAACTTTGTATTCTTCACATTCTAAAGTCTGGTAGCAAATTTGATGGAGCGGGAGGTAAACCAAATCCCATCCTTTGGAAAGTCATAGCTTTGTTTATACTCCCATTGTCAGGATTAAAGGTAAAGGGAACAAAAAGAAATGAAGAGAAAATAAAGGACAAAAATGTTAAAAATATGCATTAGAGGTTGCACAGCATTGGCAGCTTTTTCTTTTGATTAATCATAAAAAAAAAAAGACAAAACAAACAAACAAACAGAAACAGAAAACCCAGAAGCACATAGCTTTAATTTTCTAGAAAACACAGATAGTTTAGAAAAGAGGAGGAAAGGAATGAACTTGAAACAAAGCACATGTATCTATTCTCACTAAAGCCAAAAAACCTACATAACATTTTAGGAGTACTATTTATTAACCTCCCACCCTATAGGATGGATGTTGAGTGTAGTGAATGTGAACTGGAACCTGGCCCTGCCACTTTCGAGCTGTGAGATATTGGCTAGTACTGAACCTGGTTTAGAAATATTTGCCTTCATTGGTCCTTTTTTTTTCTCCATAGCTTAACCAGCTGGAAAAGGCAGTGGAAGCAGCCCACACATTTTTTATGGCCAACCCTGAGCACATGGAAATGCAGCAGAATATTGAGAATTACAGAACGATGGCTGGTGTCGAAGCATTCCAGTTGGTAGATCGAGAAGCCAAACCGCACCTGGTGAGCTTGGGGACCCCTGCCCCAACAATGTGGGGCTTAGTGCTAAGTTTTATTTGGCGAAAAGTGGATTCCTATGGATATCTCAGATTGACCCCCAATTTACAATATAATAGCATTTTTTTATGCTTTCATATTTCTCAGATGAAATATTGTAATTATCAATATTTTTTCAAAATTGAAAAAATTGAGAAGTGATGAAAATTAATTTAGAAAATCAGTATGAAATGGTGAAAAGTAGAATATGATATAAATCCTCTCTGAGCTTCAGCTCCCACTACAGCACTTTTATTTTTCACATAGAACTTGAAGCCAGTGTGTGAATGGCTCAGGGCACACTGTGATCTCCCAGCTCTAAACTGGTGGTTCTTTCATTGTACCTATACTTTCAAATTCTCTCTTTTTTTTTTTTTTTTAAGACACAGAATTATTTGTTTAAATAAAATCTGACTTAAAATCACAGTATGTCGAAAGGGCTTCTTTTACAACTGGAGACATTGCCATACTCAGCGTGTCAGGATGATCCTGACCTTCAAGATGATTGAAGAATAGGAAAAGAGAGGAAGGTTTTAGATGGGAGTTTTTGTTTGTTTGTTTTTGTTTTTAAACTGGGCCAGGCCTAGGAACAGTTGTCATGTCCAACCACATCAGTCTTTATGCACTTTGTGGCATGCCCCTATCTACTACATTCAAAGGGGCTAGCATGCTCAAAAAGAAAGTGAAATTCTTTGGTGGCGCAATAGATGGCTTGCTCTGCAAGTCTTCTCATTTACTATTAGTTACAGCGTTGGACTTAACACTTTATCTCCCAGTACAACTCCTCTTTATCTCCACCACAGCACAGGAGTCCAGTATTCCACCTATCTAAGTGATCCCCAGTCTGCATGGCCCCTGCTATTCAAGTGCCTGGTGGGTGCTCTTGGGGAAAAAAAGAAAAAAAAATTCTGTTTCTTTGCAGGAGAGTTACAACTTAGGAGTTAAACATTATGAGGTTGATGACTTTGAACTAGCTATCAAGTACTTTGAACAAGCTTTACGAGAATATTTCAATGAAGATATGGAGTGTCGAGCCCTATGTGAGGGGCCTCAGAGATTTGAAGAGTATGAGTACTTAGGTTATAAAGCTGGTCTCTACGAAGCCATTGCAGGTAAAGCTTTTTTCCCCCTTTATTTATTTTATGATTAGAGAAATGCTATGTGCAATCTGTAAGAATATTCCAACAATATAGAGGTATGTATTGTAAAAATGAAAGATTCTCATATATCTGAACCATTCTATCTCCCATAGATAAACTTACCTAGTTTAAATTTTGATGACTATGCTCTGAAACTTTTTCAGATGCATATGTAAATATTTACGTATTTTTATAAAAATAAGACAATACTATAAATACTGATTTTCAGCATATTTTTTCTTTTTGTTTTATGCTTGACAATATATTGTGGACTTCTTCTCAAGTAAGTACATGTAGATCTACTTATTGTATTTAATGGCTGCATAATGTTCCATTATATAGGGACAACGTGATTTATTTGATTAGTCCTTTATTGATGACTTTTAAGGAAAATGTAAGTTTTCATTATTATAATCAATATAGTAGTGAATACTTCCATGTAGTCATCTTCAATCACTTAAAAGAGTATTTTGCTATATTTAGGAATTTAATATATTATAAAGTAGAATTTAAAATTGTAAGTAATATGCATTATACACTAATTGGGGAGACTGGCTAGTTAATCATTTATGGCAGGAAATGAGTTCTCTGCTGCATATGAAAAAATACACAAAAATGCATTCTATTTATATTAACAATATAAGTATAAAAATAAAACTGTTAGAAGAAAATGCAGGAAAATATTTGTATAATAGTAGAGAAGAAATGCTCTTAGCGAGACAACAGATGGGAAATACGAAGAGACGAAGAGACGGATAGAGTTCACATAAAATTTATAAACAAAATGTACAATAAATCGAGTGAATTTACAAATGACGAGTGGGAAAAAATTGCAAAAATAATTACAGGCAAAGAGTTAATATCCTTAATAGTTAAATAGAGCATGTAAATTATTAGTAGTAATTTGTTATTTACTAGTAGTAATAATAATAAGCAATATTTATTTAGCAGTTACCACATACAAAGCACTTTACTTCTTTATATCTCTTTTAATCCTCTAAACAATTCCTTGTAGATACTATTGTTATTAACTCTCTTCTCCCTTTTTAAAACGAGGGATTTGCAACTCAGAAGGCTTAAGTAATGTGATTCGGGTAAGGCTGGAAATGAAACCTAGGCTTTCTTCACTCTAGAGCCCATACTTTAAAGGTCTACATAATTGAAAAATGGGCAAAGGGTAATTTATTCAATAATAAATGTTTAACAAATAATTATTTGAAAAGCAATGTTTAACTTCATAGAAATACAAATTAATGAACTCATTATGCCTTCCCCAACTTCCAATGTTTTCTGTCTCCATAAAAAGCACCATTCACCTAGCAGCTCAATCCACATCCCCAGACGTTACCTTTCAATCCAAAATCTCCCTCAGTTTCTATTCCCTTCTTATTCATTACCAGACTTTGATAGATGCTACCTTCTATTAGCACTTCAGATTTCTTGGTTCTCTCAACCCCTTTTTGCTACCATCCTGGTTCAAATTAACAGTATATTTTAACTAAGCCAATATGATGGCCTCCTTGCTGGCCCTTATGTCTTTTTCAGATTTTATCTTGTAGGCACACAAAGCAGTCTTCTAAAAAAAAAAAAAAAAAAAATGAAAGTCTGCTCACAACGTGCTGAAAATATCCCACTGAATTCTATTGCACTTAAATAAAACCCAAAACCTTTTAATAAGGACTTACATTACTGTACACTTGTGTATGTTTTCATCATCTCTTTCTTTCCCCCCTCTCTCTATGACTCATTCATACTGCACTCTTTTAATTCCTTGGATATGCCATGCTCATTTCCACTTGCAGACTTTCAAAATGTCGTTTTCCTTTATTGCTTGGCTAATACCCTGTCTTGCTCAGTGTTCTGTCCTCAGTGCCTGAGTACCGTGACTGTTAAGTAGCGGCTGCTTAGTAAATACTTGTTAAATGAATGGGTTGAATGAGTGAAGGAGAGGACATATTCATCAATCACACTGCAGAGATTAAAATGGTTAATAATACTGTGAATTTCTGAAAATATAGGTCATAAATTGTTAAGGTCCTTTAGAAGGGCGATAGGGGAATATCTATTTAATTAGACTAAGAAGTTAGATTTCTAATCAATTTGTCAAGTGATCAATTTGCCTGCCACACACTGTTACCCTAAATCAACTCAATTCACCTACAATCAATACCAGTATCTGAATTATTAAAGACTTTTTCCCCAAAAGTTGTGTTTTACTGGACCTCTGCCAGAGCTATTGCTTGCATTTTATGAGCACTACTCATTTGGATGTCAATTTTATATGTGTCTTACATTTCACTTGTCAATTTTATGTGTGTCTTACATTTCACTTGCTGAGTATTTCTCTATACTTAATCGTTTACTTGCATATGGGCAGGCTTTTCCCTTGTTATAGTTTACTATCTTGTGGTTTTGTGGGGATATGTGTCCTGCCTCCATTCTTACATTTGTTTATACACCTGCCTCAACCAATGACCACTAAACAGCCTTGGCAAATGGCCTAGATCTGGTTTAGGAAGCCTGACTGACAATTCTCCACAGATTAACATTTAGTAATTTGTTCAAAGTCAGCACAGCCTCTTGGTTGCCAGAAAGGAATAACGGTCTCTTAACTCAGGCTCTAACTACTTAACACAATTTCTAACACCCATGACCCCACTTCCAATAAAGAAAAGTGATTTAAAAAATTCATAGTCCCTTTATTTTAACCCAAATATTATATATTACAGAAATATAGTAAGTCTCCTTCAGAATTTGAAGCATATAAAGTTGATTATGAGAGAGAAACTTAAAAAAGTATCCCCACACAGAGTCTTGGATTTCAAATTTATTAAAAAATACTAATTGCACAATAACATTTGATATAGAAAGAAAGCAAGGGATACAACTACAAATAAAAAGTGATATCATAATTCTGACTATGTAAATTCTTGTTTGGTTCAAAATTGTCCTAAATTAGTAGTAAAACTGGTTTTAAAATACAGAATATATTTAGAAAGCCATAATATTTGAATTTTACAGTTAGAACATTAAAAATTGGAGAAAAATACAAATGGCTTCTTCATGCAGTTACTTATTAGCTGTGCTTGTTGAAAGCCCTAAAGGCTATCATTGTGTCACTCTTATTTTGCTCCTATTTATAGCTTGCTTTCAAAATCCTGTTATTAAGATTTTGAGTTCTTGGTGGGTGTGTTTCTTACCCTTTCCTTTTGCTTGTCATTTGGAATTAGGAGGAGTGTGTATTATAAAGTAACTGGCCAGCTAACTAGGAGAAAATGGTTGAGGGTTGTTGTTTTCTTAAAAAAAAATAAAACAACTAGCTATTTATTTCTAACATGCTAATCAAATAAACAGAACTTATTCTTTCCCTCACATTCCCTCAACTGGAATTAAGAACCAATGGATTGTAGGGCTTCTATTAGCTGTTCTATATTGGTTTGACTTGGCCATGCTATGTGAAAATTGGCACGGTTTTCTACATGCCAGAAAATGTACATTTACTTCCTGTTGTGTTTTAGGGTCTGCCTTCAAGGTCATCCAGGTACAAGCTAAACTCTCCCTAACAAAGAAACTTTTGAAAGGAGGCAGTTGTTATAAATTAAATTGCACAGTCATGAAGTTAGATTGTTTTATCATCATTCTCAAGAGAACCCTCTCACTCAGCACAAGCGTGAATGAACTATTCTCTTTCTGGAAAAGACTACCTCCGTCTTTATTATAAAAATCAAAGTCAGGGCAAAATGTAGGAAGTTTTTTTTTTACCCCTCTGGTACATTAGCCATTTGAGTTTTCTCAGCTCATGCCTGGATGAACTAGAGCCCAGCACTGAAAGGAGCATGAAAATCTTACACTTTCAGATCTGTTTGCAAGTAAGAAGAATTGGCCTGTTTGCAAGCAAGAAGAATTGGAACAAAGAAAGGGAGACAAAGAGAAAAATGCAAGGCACTTATTTAAATTCTTTAGCTTTCATCTGTCTGCTATTTTACCAGTCCCTATGGTATTAGGATTTACAATCTCCAGGTGACGAACTAATTTGTATCTGGATAGACTAGCTCCTAATCGATAGGTGCAAAGGAATATTTTTATTTCCTCATTTGGAAAATGTTAAGCAGAAGGAGCATTCTCTCTTTACTTCTCCGCAACGAACTCCTCACCTACAGGGCAGTTCCTTGCTTGCAACTGGTTCTTAGCATAACCAGGATCTGGCCTTCTGATCCTGACTTTGGGATGCTTAGGGCTATCTAAATATCCAAAAGAAGGCCCTGAAGTTGTTAAACATATGGAAGTCAGCTACTCAACTGTTTGAGAGTGGGGTGAGATGGCCTGACACTTTCAGGAGATGTAGAAAATAAGATATCTGGAAGGGAAGAGTACAGTACAGAGAAAAGACTGGGAGTCCGAAGATTTGGAATCTACTATTAATTACTCTGGTGATCACTGATTAAGAGGCCTTGGCAAGTCACTTAACTTTCTTTGTGAAAAGAATTTCTGATCATGAAGTGAGGATAATAATGATATCATTCTCAGAGTGTTGTGAGGTGAGAAATGCCCAGTGTAACTGTTACTCTGACTTTGAAGTCTGAACATTCAGCAGATAGGAGGGACCCACTTGTCTGCTCTTGTCTTCCAGATCACTACATGCAGGTGCTGGTTTGTCAGCATGAATGTGTGAGGGAACTTGCCACTCGCCCTGGCCGCCTCTCACCAATTGAGAATTTTCTTCCCCTGCATTTTGACTACCTACAGTTTGCCTACTATCGAGGTAAAGCATGGGTTATCTGTGAAGACCTTTGAGGAGAGATAATCTTGCTCATCATTACAGAATTTCTCTCTCATCTCACATTACTGCAGCTCAGGACAAAAAGAGCAGAGATGAAACTATAAGTGGGCAAATGCTGTGATAATACCTGAAAATCATACCTAGGCTGACATTTTATGATTTTTTAAATTTAATTTTTCTAACTTAATTTTAAAAGGTAATATATCCCAGGTTCAAAGACCAAATCTCATAAAAGTTTCCCTCTCTTCATTTTTCCCACAACACAATTTCATGCCCTACAACCCAGTGTCTTATTTATCCCTCCAAAAATTTTGTATAGAAACAACACACACACACACACACACACACACACACACACACTCTCTCTTTCTCTCTCTCTCATTTATTTTCTCCTCTTGTACAAAGAAAATAGCATATTATTTGCACTGTTCTCTACATTGTTTTCTTCTCTTAAAAATACATATCAGATTTTTTTTAGTAGGTTGGACCTATGAAATTACCATTCGTTTAGGTAAATTTTGTCAATTTTGTATGGTTTGATCTAATTATTTCTGTATATAGAGATCTTCCTCATTAATTTTTCTTTATATCTGCATACCATTGTACTGTAATTTATTCATGTGTCTCCTTACGATGAGCATAGTGTTGTTTATAATCTTTTGCTGTGATAATCAACAATCAAATGAGTGATATTTTCCATGTCATTTCACAATTGCACATAAATATAGGATAAATTTCTAGAAGTACAATTACTACATCAAATGATTTATTCATTTGTAATTTCCATAGATATTACCAGTTTTTCTCCATATACAGTACACTTTTCATTGCTCATCAACAGAATTCATTATCAAATTTTCATATATTCCCTAGTCTCTCAGGTGAAAATTGATATCTCGATAGTTTTTATTTCCGTTTATCTTATTAAGAAACATCTTCAGGTGGAAACTTTTGATAATTTATGCAAAACATCGAGCACCAAAGCAGACCGAAAGTAGTACCTTTAGAATACTTGATATTGTGTCTTCTTTTACCTGCCGCTGTTTCTGATTACTCTGCCTCGCCTTATCTTCCCTCTTACTGTTGTTTAACACTGACTGCTCATAGACATGTTGAAGTACCCCTTAAAATTATTTTAGACAGACTTAGGCTGACTCTTCCGTCTTTCAGTTGGTGAATATGTGAAAGCCTTGGAGTGTGCCAAGGCCTATCTTCTACTCCATCCGGGTGATGAGGATGTCCTAGATAATGTGGATTACTATGAGAGTCTGTTGGACGACAGCACAGACCCAGGATCCATCGAGGCCAGAGAGGTGAGACCAATTTCTCTTAGAAGAATTTCTGCATTCTGCTTAGATGCTCTGGGGAGACTTGGTAAAAAAATAACACTGCTTTTGAATATATCTAACAGTTCAGTAAAGATTCTTAAACTCACTTCTTTCAAACTTTAATTAGTGATGCCCAAAGCATATTTTTCTCATATGTGCTAGCTTAAAAAAATCTGTTGAGATGGAGACATTTTTTGCAGCTCTGAATATGTTTTTTTGCTTATTTGTCACTGTCTAATGAAAGCTACTTCCACTTGAACATTTATCATATCTCTTAACTGTTATTTAAATATAAATTTTCTTTTTTTTTTTTCCTCTAGGATTTGACAATGTTTATGAAGCGTCATAAACTGGAATCAGAACTAATAAAATCAGCTGCAGAGAGTCTGGGATTTTCATACACTGAACCAGTAAGATCAAAGAGGAAAAAGGAAATGTTTTTTCAAAAGAACCATTCAATGGACTTTTTATATATGATTTTATTTCCTAGCCTCATTTGTCGAAGGTTCTAATCCCCTGCTACAAGTTAGCAAAAACTGGGGATATGGAAGAGGTTACTTACTCAATATATGTGATAAACTTTAAAAGACTTTAATAGATTCCCATATCAGTGAGAAACAGTCAAAAGCAAATATATTTGGGTAGAAGTATTTTGTACATGATGTATTTGCCTCAGGTTTGTTTTATTTCCTAAATTCTTTATGCGACATTTTGTATTTTCCTTTAAACATTTCTCTTAAACATTTTAAACATTCAAGAGACTTCAAAACCAACAAAATCAATCACAATTGTACTACCCAACGTGCTGACTTTTCTTCATTTGTTCATATTGCCTTTTCATATTCTTTATATGAAGACATACTTTTGGCAGAACGAGTACTAGTATAGATAGATTTCTGTTTTGATTTTTATTTAAGAAATCATATGCAATTTCTATATTTTTATAGCTTCTAAAATTATTTTTAGCTAATATATAGAGCAGATGTACAATAAATACTCTTCTCCTAATGCCGAACATTTAATTCGTTTGATTTGTGTTATCCTTAATGCATTAAGCATTTTCCTCTCTATTGAAATATACCATCTGAATAAATTCCCAGGAGTGGGATCACTTTGCCATCAAAGGATATGAGAAGTTTTAAAGTTCTTGAAATTGCTTTTCTAAGAATTTTCTAACACCTTTACTGCTCTTAGCAATGCATAAAAGTACCAGTTTACTACAAACATCTTAGCAATGAGAGACAACATTTTAAAATCACTTGTAGTAATCATATATTATCTACAAAATGGTATATCATTGTTGCTTCAGTTTGTATTTCTTTGATGATCAGCAAAAGTAAACTTTTCACATATCATTAATTATTTTTCTTTTAATTCAAATTATCTGAACATACCTTTTTCATCTATTTGTTGGTTACTATATATATTCCTTTTGTAATTTACATGTCACTTATTTATAAAAAGCACCATTTATAAAATATCCTATTTGTAACATATTTTTCATTTTTGTCTTAGTTATGTCATGTTTCATTGGCACATTTTAAAAATTAGAATAATTTCAATATACCAATTCTAATGCAACGTAAGTTTTATCTGGTCCTACTTATGATTTCTTTCAAAATTGGGTTATCCCAGGAGACTCCAGAAAATATCACTTTATTATCTCGTAGCAATGATTAATCAAGCTGGACTCTTTTGTTTGTTTTATTCATAAAACATAAGGGAGTTAGACTGAATTATCTTTTAAATGTCTTCCTGCCACCAATTTCTAAATCGCTTTCTTGGACAAAAGAATGTCTGCCCAGGATAATTCCATGCCATTTTTTAAAAATCTACTTCTGCATCATTTATGTCTTTGTCAAAATTACATTACCTAGCCTTCCTTCTCTTTATTTTTTTTTTTAAATAACAAAGTGTATTATGTCTTTATTTAATATGTAAGTTTCCTAAAATTTTAGGTCTTTTGAGAGTTTGAGTATTTTATTTCTCATGTTTTAGTGACAAAAATACTAATTTTTTTTTTTAATTTAAAACAGAATTATTGGATCCGATATGGAGGACGACAGGATGAGAATCGGTGAGTTCTCCATTCACAAATCCAATGTTTATATAAAAAATTTTTTCAGAGGTATAAAACTTAAAAAAATCTTTTTCAATTATGGTTGCCAGAAAGGAGGGGGATTGGGAGGATTGATGAAAAAAGGGAAGGGATTAAGATGTACAAATTGCCAGTTATAAAAAGTCATAGGGACGTAAAGTACAACATAGGGACTATAATCAGTAATACTGTAATAACCGTGTATGGTGTCAGACAGGTACTAGACTTATTGGGGTGATTACTTCATAAGTTATATAAATGTCTAATCACTATGTTGTACACCTGAAACTAATATAATATTGTATGTTAACTGTTGGTTTTTAATGAGAAGAAATACTTAGGGTCATACCTATTATAAGGACTTAGTCTACGAATAGGCAAAAAGATATATTTAAAAGAGTACCAAACTGAGAATTAGGAGCTCTGCATCCTGGTCACAGCTGTTTCTGTCACTTCTATGTAACCTTGAATAATTTATTTTCCTCTTTGGGTCTTATGTTTTTCTTCAAATTAGGGAGTTAGATCAGGTGATCTCTGAAGGCTAAACATTCTGTGGTTCTAAAACAGAAAATTGGATGCTGTTTTTGATTTATTAGTAGAAAAAACTATAATATTTTCCTGTTAATGCTGAATTCCCTTACTGCATTTATTTGAAAACAAGAAGCTCAAAAAGTTTTACTGCAAGCTAAAATATTAGGTGTCAGTAACTCAATCAGAAATGAAGATAACTCATTTTTTGAAATGATAGAAATCAAAAGTCAATTTACATGTTATGAGGAGGTCAAGAAATCATAGAATGTTGGAATTAAATGCCTGAGGTCACATGGACCAGCCTGTTCATTTTCAAATTTAAAAACGGGCCCCAAGAAGGCAAAAGACTCTCTGAGGGTCTCACACCATGGGAGACTGGCAGATCTAGATCTTCTTATTCAAAATCTTGTGGTCTTTCACTAGACTTCAAGGACTCAATCTTGGAGTGGACTAGAATTACTGCAAGAGATCCAAGAATGCATATGCACATTTAGATTTGTTCAATCTGTGTGTATTGAGAGAACATCATACTATCATGTTTGTTTGCAAAGTTTGACACAAACTTGTGTCCTCTTTCATGGAATAGTCGAGGACCACTACACTAGGACATGATTTATTTCAATTCAGCCATTGTTCCGTGATGAACACAATCTATATTGAAGACATAATACAGCACTCTGAGAATTGTAAAGATGCACATGATAATTTTTTCCTGGTCTGTTGGGAGTCAGAGTCTGATCTGAAGGAGGTTAAGTTATAGATACAATTAACTGTAATAAAGTTTGTTAATAAGATTTAGAGAAATGAAATAGAGCACACTCATTGAAGAAATAGAGAAGAATTCCATGGAGACAGTGACATTTAATTTGATCTTGAAAAATAGGGAGATTTGTATTCAACAAAAATAGGAGTCATAAAGTATCTAAATAAGGTATTCTTTGCCTTTGAACTTCTTTGTTCAATGAGAACTTGCTATTTCAACTTTTTTTTTTTTTTTTAATGAGCAGTGTCCCCTCAGGAGTGAATATGGAGCGGGTAGAAGTTCATGGATTGTCAGTGGGGAAAAAATCATCACCCAAGATAGATCGAGACCTAAGAGAGGGTAAGTATCTATGCACTTTGACTCTTAGAAGGCGGGGAAGGAGAGGATGGGATTTGACCAGTTCTTTCACGTATAAGGACTAAGCTACTACAGTTCATGAATTTCTGAAAGCAAGTCTAAAAAACAAGAATGTCTCAGATTTGTATATCATTACCTTTGGTTCCTGACAGAAGAGTTTCCAAATTCACTCCCTCATTTGTTTCCCACAGGAGTTCTGTGAGCCAGACCGAAACTATACGATCACTGTCATCCTCAGTTGACTAGAGAGGTCACATGGCTTATTTCTGTGACAAAGTGAGTGAGTGCTAGGTTATGTGGAGTGGACTTCGTATCAGAGGAACTTGGAGAGACAGGTCATGTGGGATATTATATTAGTTAATCTAAGATGATCGAGGCACATATACCTGAGCAGGGCTATGAGAGATAAGTAGTATTTAGGTTGAATTGACAGAGGTGTGAAAGGAGCCATTCTAATGGATAAAACAGATGGAACAAAGGCACAGAGCTAGAGAGAACAGAATATTTTATGCCTATTTATGTAAATCAAAATAATGAAGACATAGGTGGAGAGTTGCCAAAACAGTTTTTAAATAAAGCCGAACATTGTTATAATAATGCATTAATTATAATAGTAGTACTAATTGCAGAAGTAATCCTTAATAATTATTATTTCTATGTTTTATAATTTTTCAAGTAAATTTATACACAATTTGTTTTAATACCGGCAGCATCTCATGTAAGAAAAGTGTCCCCACTTCACAGGCAAGAAAAATGAGGTTTACAGAGATTTAGCGATTTGTCCAAAGTCACAGCTCATAGTAGGTTGAGCAGGCATTGGAACCCAAGCTTTTGAACCCAAATCCATTTTCTCTTCTCTAATTATGAAACATAGAAGTGTCTAGATGTCTAAAATGTCCCCTATTGATTAATTGCAAGATAAGAAGAGGTTTTCAAAAACTTGCGTTAAGTACAGTACCCCTTTTCCCAACAAGAAGCTTGTCAGCACATTCTTCTAGCCGATTTGAAAACTATTGGCTCTCCACAGCTCTCACATTTCCCAGCCCTTTCCTTCCTTAGTTTCCAAGTCAGTTTGAGGTAGTAAACAGGATAATATGCTCATCTAATCTGACCTGGACCTCAGCTTGTAGCCACAAAGCCCAAGCTCTTTTTCAAGTGCCAGAGAGCTGCATGGTCAGCCAGAGTTCATGTTGCTTTTTAAGCTGAGAAATCACCCAGGAAGTTACATGAAAATAAGCCAACACTTTGCTGTAAAGGTTTAGGAAATTCCAGGACAGTTGGCAAATTTTGAGGCATTTTTTTTTTTCCTGGCTACCAGGGAATCTGATGTCCAGTAACTGCGAAAGAAGACTAATGGAAAGAGTAGAACAGAAGACGTCACAGGATGGAGGAAATCATAACTGACTGGGTTACCAAATTCTGTCATTTTTGCAGAATTTGCTTAGTTGAATGGGCTAATGGATATTAGGATAGTCTCTGGAAATCTTCTGGAAAGCCTCTGTACAGTCACTAGAGATTTAAATAGTGTCTAAACTAAGAACAGTGGTAGACAGAGAAGCAAAGTTTCCAACCAGAAAATACTTTCTTATCTTAGGCTGGCTGCAAGTGATGTCAGGAAGACAAGAAAGGATACGTGCCTCGCGGAGCAGAATGCATTTCAGCTTTTCTCATTTTCCACAAATATACTGTCATCCACTCTGATTACCTAACAATAGTTAGTCATATTCATATTGGACAGCTCCCAAGCATTAAGATGGGAGTGGCCCAGGGTGACTCCAGTCTGTGGAATATGCATGTCAGCTTCCTAAAAACATCTGTCACTCATCCATTCTCCTTTCAACCGGTAGTTTTCCAAAGGTCCTGCTCAATAATAACCTCAGAGTCAGTGGGGTATATAGTAAAAATAACTTTGAATGTGAGATCCGGAGGCCAGGTTTCCTGGGTCGTCTTAGTCTGATGTGCTCTGCAGTAATAGATAACTAGAGACTCAGTGTCTCATCTGTATGACCCCCATCTGTAAAACTAGGACAGCAACTTTTGGAAAGGACGAACATGAAGAGTCTTATGTAAACTTTAAAGGGCTTTGCTCATGTAAGGGCTTCTTAGAACACCCACATCAAGTCTTTATGACATGGTAATACTTTGGTAAAATAATTTTCTTGCCGTGAGCCACAGGCAGTGAGCACAAAGGAGTGTTTTCCAAGATGATCTCTCTTTATTGCAACTGGAGAGTCAGAGCCAGGCACATACTTTATGAATGAGAGAAGAATTAAATTGTTTAACTAAATCTCCTTGGACTGTGGTAACAGTTGGCTGAAGCCACCAAATCAGGCCCCAGGAACCACAACACATTGGACTGCATTTTTATTTTTATTTTAACGTTTTTCTCTCTGTCTGGTGTGCTACTAGTCATTCGGAGGCTGACTGACTTGCATTTTAGAATGACAGGGTTTATTTTTACTTTTTTTTGTATGTGTGTGTGTGGGTAGTTGGTTGTTTCTGTTAAATGTATGTGTGGGAAACCTCTGTATAAAATTCTATGCTCGGTGGTTATTTTGTTAGCTACATAAAAGGCAGATTTCTACTACAGATTCTGCCTCAACCATTAGAGTTTAGGTATTTAAGACTCCATTAGCATTCTGCTCCTTCACCTGATCTTTGTATATTATTTATGGCATGGTTTGGGGAATTGTCAATATCTTTTTAATATTCTCCATTATGCTTATTCAGATGACTCAGAACTTAACACAATCTATTAGGCATATTTTACTAATATAATAACCATCATAATAATAATAGCAAATACTTCTATAGGGCTTAAGAATAGTAGCCATTTCTCTTACTGGTTTAGTTTTAGTAACTTTTAAAATCATATTTTAAAAATAAACTATATTTAAAGTAATACACTCTCAATATAGAAAATGAGAAAAACATGGCAAAGTACAAAGCAACCTAGTTCAATAAATTCTTAGTCTGTCTTCCATTTGTTTGAGTTTTATATTAGAAAATGCTTTTCAGTGAACCTCTGAGTATCTTGTCTTTCTTATTGAAGGAAAATCTATTTTTATATTTCTAAATGGGAGTGGAATAAACAATTGACTTTTCCAAATATTGGAGAGACTGCCACATTTGGCTATGAATCTTAATTTACTATATAGAGTAGATCAACCTTTCCCAAGCAAACTGTTTTTTATGTTAATAGATCCTGTGGTGGGGAACAAAAGTCGCTGTTTTTTATTATTATTGCTATGAAAAAAGTTAGCACCAATGGAGCAGCTTACAATAACATACATTTACTCTTTCACAGTTCCTGTGGGTCAGAGGTCTGGGGATCGCTTAGCTGGGTCCATTGCTCCACGATCTATCGCAAGGTTTCCATCAAGTTGTTGATCAGGGATGGGGTCTCTTCTAAGGCTTGACTGAGAAACTATCTTCTTACAAGTTCAAATGACAGAATTCAGTTCCTAAAAGCTTATTAGATTGTGGTCCCCAGTTTCTTGTTGGTCGTTGGATAGAGGATGATCTCAGTTCCTTGCCACGTGAGCCTGTCCAATACAGCCACTTGCTGAATCAAACAAAGCAGAGAAGGCAATAGATTGAGTCTGCTAACAAGACAGAAGTTGCAGTCTTGATGTAATGCAGTCACAGAAGTGACATGCCATCACTTTTTCCATATTCTATTGGTTAGAAGCAAGATCTAGGCACTGACCACACTCAAAGGCAGCAAATTATACAAGCCTATGAATATCAGGAGGCAGTGGTAATTAGGGTCCATCTTAGAATATCTCTGCCATAGGAAGGAGGAAAGGAAAGGCGAGAGGATATTATGCTCAGTTAAGGGTGAGAACTGCTCTATGCTACATTGATACTTAGGATATTCATATGCCTGTTCACATGGTAAAAGTCCTAAGAAACCTCTTAATGTTTGTTTAACCCAGTACCTCCCAAACACATTTGACCAAGAAACTTTTTTCATCAAAAAATTTTCTGTAGAACAAGTTTGAGAAACACTGAATTGTAGAAAAAAAAAAATGTTTTTTTTCTTATTCATCCAAAAGATTGAAACTGGGAACTTACGGGTATATTCTTGGAATCCAAGAAATTTTTCATTTATAAATTTCATGGCAATTTTAAAATATTAAGAGAGAGAGCTAGTAGGTCACCTGAATGACCACCTTATAACCAAATATTGCCAGAAACTTCCTACCTCAGGGGGTATGGTTAGTTACCATCACATTGGCACCAGTTAATAATATTTCAACGGTTGAAGACTAATAAGAAATCAAGTAGGAGGAACTTATAAATAATGTATGAGGACCAGGTGAAGGCCAAAATTCATCATGGTACACTAAGATTTTGTAATAGTTTCAACAGAGAAAATTTATGATAGAATAAATGAGTCATTTCACACCCAAAGAGCTATAAGGAATGCTGGCTTAAAGCACCTGGGCCACATCAGTCAGTAGAGTGTTCATGTGGAAGCTTTTTAGTTTCCACAAAATAATGTTAACCATTTTATTAATATTGTTAATTTTAATTTAGTTGGTTTATGGTCTTGTTTTTATTTAATTTCATAAATTGATTTTGGCATTATAATCATATGAAACCATAAAAATAAATACTGTATTTACATTATAATTGCAAGTATGGAAGTAAAATCATATCAACTGACGCATTTTAGCCAGTGTGTTCGTGCAGTTATTATTGACAGGCACAGATCAGGTCCCTTGAGAGTATTATAAAGAGTTTTAAAAAGGCCAATGCTTTTCTGAGAATAGGTCTTTAACCTCATTGGTTAATTTGATTCCCAGGTATTTTATTGTTTTTGATGCAATTGTAAATGGAATCGTTTTCTTAATTTCTCTTTAAGAAAGTTCATCATTGGTGTATAAAAATGCCATCAACAGGTGATTGGATACGAATCTTATGGTTCATCTATGCAATGGAATATTACTCAGCCATTAAAAAGAAATGAAATCCTACCATTCGCAACAACATGGATGGACCTAGAGGTTATTATGCTGAGTAAAATAAGTCAGGCAGAAAAAGAGAAATACCGGACCTAGAGGTTATTATGCTGAGTAAAATAAGTTAGGCAGAAAAAGAGAAATACCATATGATTTCACTTATATGTGAAATCTATGGAACAAAAGAACACACTCACAGATCAAAACAGACTCACAGATATAGAGGACAATTTGGACACAACCAGAGGGGAGGGGGGTTGGGGAGCTGGGAGAATGGGGTGAAGGGTTAAAGAAGTACAAATTAGTAGTTGATGTTAGTCACGGAGATGGGAAACACAGCATTGGGAATGCAGTCAGCATTAATGTAATGGCTAGGTGGACAGCCAGAGCAGAGAAAGAGCAATCAGAGGGATCGTTTCATAAAGTATCTAAATGTCTAACCAATATACTATATACTTGAAACCAAAAAAAAAAAAAAAACCTTTTTTTTTTCTGTTCATTTTTTGGGTTCAAGATGGTTACCCTCTGTTACATCTGATGATTTCCTCACCATTAGAGGTTTTGTCCTTTAATCCTACTTTTTGTGAGGAAAGAACCTTGTCAGATCTAGATTTTATAATTTCACCACTTAAAACATGCCCCAAAAGCATCATTCTCTGAAGAGCCCGTGTGGGGCTAACTTCATAAAGTTGTAGACTCTATCCAGGGTGAGAGCAGGTGTCTACAGGAAACCCTTTTGTGTAAAAAACGTGGTATAAAGATTTGTCCAGAGAGCAGAGAAGACTAAGTGTTCCAAAAGCCAGACCATGTAGAGTCCGTTGGGTTGTAGAAAGAAGACGAGGAATGAGTTGGGTAACTTGGGCGTGACTGTCTTGATGATGCATTTACTATCTGTGTTTCCTGGTGAAGGTATTGCTCCCCATACCTATGAAATGAGGTGTGTATGTCGTGCCTGGGGATGTTATAAGAAATAGGAACCAACGGCTGTGGAGAAGGGTGGGTCCAACTGCCGAGAGAATTCTGCAAAGTCTACTCAGAGAATCCTATGAGATGCCCAGTCTCCTTTGCAGGATCCTCACTGGAATAAAATGAAAAGATAGTTGACCAAACCCAAGATACTCTACAACTGTAGTGTATTATCATGACATTTTGGAGAAACCTGGTAGTCAGACATCTGCCTTTTTCCTAAATCTGTATTGTGTTTATCAAGCTTCCAAATTTGTCTCTGAATTCCTAAATATTCATGAGGAAACTGACTTGTCTGAATTGCACATTGAAAGCTGTGATTTCCCCCTTGGGGACAGAGGTCACAGAGAAAACTGTGCTCTGTCCCTTTAGGCGGCCCTCTCCTCTATGAGAACATCACGTTCGTCTATAACTCGGAGCAGCTAAACGGGACGCAGCGGGTTCTCCTGGATAACGTCCTGTCAGAAGAGCAGTGCCGTGAGCTGCACGGTGTGGCGAGTGTGAGGACACCCAGAGAGGGCGGGGACCTGCCGGTGCTCACCTGGAAGTGCTTTGGTTCTGGTCTCGCACGAAGCTGGAAAACCAGGCCTGAAATGTCACTTTCTTCAGGAGAAGGACATTGATTTTGGAGGCACTTTCATGGCCTTTGGGTTGGGAAGACTTTAGTTAGTCCTAGCTAGTGGATCTAGCTAGTGGATGTGGAATAGTTAGTGGCTTAATTCCTAGGATGTGCCCCATGTGCCTTAACTACCATAAAAGGTCACAAGGAAATTCCTTTATTTTAATCAGTAATTAACTAATATATTAATCATTTATATTCTACCTATTTCTATAAAAAGTGGTGGTATTTTATAATGAAAATGTAGTGTGAAGGTTAAATAAATATATCTCTTTTGATTGGAAGGATTAATAATACCAATGCCCTGGAACAAAATGGGAATGGTTCTGAGTATTGACTGGTTCTTAGCTTCCTGGCAATCAAGGCAGAAAGGGAAACCTGATAAATTCATAGTCATTATTAAGAAAGCATCTTCTTATGTTTTCCTTCCAGGGAATCATGCTTGTTGGTGATGGATACAGAGGAAAAACTTCACCCCATACACCCAATGAAAAGTTCGAAGGTGCAACTGTCCTGAAAGCACTCAAAGTAAAATCTTAACTTCTTTTGGGTTTGGATTCCTAAGTGTCAATCTAGGACTGTCTGTGAATGGCAGATACAGGAGAGTGAACTTAGAATATATTCTTTTCAGGACAGTTAAAAGAAGCAAGTATGAAATGGGACCTACATTGCTTTTAATCCTTCTTTCATTTCTCCATTCAGTCATCAATTTATCAAACTCAATGTTTCCTAAATTTGCATTTGACAGATAATATACAGCCCCCCTGTTCTCAGGGAGCTCATGGCCCAATGATGAAAACATACCCAAACAAGTAATTATTCTATACTGCGAGAAGTGTTTTTAGAGAAGAATGGGAAAAGTATTATAAGAGAATAGAGAATGATTAGCTTTTAATGTTCCCTCTATGATTAGGAAGGGCTTGTTTCAGTGGTCCTATTGCCTAACCAAAATCCACAAGCACATAGTAGTATTCCCACGAGCCAACGCAGAGGTGACCACTCCATATTGGCTTACTTGAAATCTAGTGTCTGTTTTTCTCAAGCCCTCCAATCAACTCAGTGGTATCTTCTGTTCTTTTTCTTCAGTTTGGTTACGAAGGCCGAGTCCCACTGAAGAGTGCCCGTCTGTTTTATGACATCAGCGAGAAGGCTCGAAAGATTGTAGAATCCTATTTCATGCTGAACTCAACCCTGTATTTTTCCTATACACACATGGTCTGCCGAACAGCCCTGTCCGGTGAGATTCCAGAGTCTGAATTTGTTCCCTTCTACCTACAGTGAGATGGGAAAGAAAACAATGTGAAACAGAGCTCTGTTACATGTTAGACTAATGAAGTAAAAGAGTTCTAAGTTTCTAAAACAAAAGAAACTTACTATTATTTTTTTTCTTCCTTCTTTTTCTCCTCTTTGGTCCCCTAAAGTACCTGCAGACCAGCACTCTTCCTGTTTTTTCTTTCATATTCATTTCTCCTACTTTCTTAAGTTACACAGAAAAATGCTTTTCTGCTCTAGGGTTTTACTTTTCAGGGAACCAGGAACCTGGAAATCACAGTCTCCTATTATGTCCACAAATATTGAGTGGAAGCATAGACGATGAAGGGATTGTTGAAAGAAATGTTTTTTTAAAAAAGCCAGAGACCCCCTCATTCCCTGCTGTCACTGTTTCTTCTCTAGATCTTCTCTTCTACACCCTGGGGATGTAGTAAGAGGGGAGGGATAATGTCACAGGACGAGACTTTTACACTTGAGAAGTTTAAGCTGAATCAATTTTTTTTTACGTGTTTATTTAATCTTCCTCCTATTACTGTTCCACATGAAGTACAACCCAGGAAATGCATGGGATGCCTGTATGTCTCTTTATATCAGATAACTTCTATAGCTGAAGTGGCAGGTGTGCCTTGTGCAGTTTTATGTCAGGTTCATATCAAAGCAGGACCAGAGTCTCTTGACTGCTCATCCAGTGTTCTTTCATCCGTTCTGCTCTGATTTCTGTCTCCTCAAATTTGCAAGGGGCACCAGCAATGAGAGAAGAGAGTCAGATTGTCAGTTTTGCTGTTGGAGGTTACTCCACTCCTGCTTTCATTTGTTGCCGTTCCCTTTTCTGACAGGTCAACAGGATAGAAGAAATGACCTCAGTCATCCCATCCATGCTGACAACTGCCTACTGGATCCAGAGGCCAACGAGTGCTGGAAGGAGCCTCCTGCTTACACATTCCGGGACTATAGGTACAGCCAGCACCTACTTTGAAACCAAGCTTTTGCCCAACAGCTATCAACAGCCCATGGAAACTGGAAAGCTGATCTGTTTTGCTTGTCATCACATTCATCTCTACGAAGCAGAGATTCTCAAATAATCTTTTGAAGCAGCTGCCACAACTAGAAAGTGATTTTTATCATCTCATATTTTTACCTTAAAAAATCCAATCATGTTTTGTTTTAATATAAAAGTGTGTACATGTAAATATTTATATATACACAAACATGTATGTGTATGCATATATATATGTGTATATATACATATGCATATATATAATCTTTGTTAATGATCACTTGGCTTTCACTAAAACACATCCCTCATTACCACAGCCAGCCAAAACAGGGAGATGCATCTCAACATGTATAGGAACCTCATCACAGCTCTTATCTATGTCTGCATTTTATAAATAAGAAACTGGAAACTCAGGAGAAAAAAAATGTTTTCTCTTATTGAAAGATATTTTAGTGTGTAAAGACAAGAGTTAGGAATTGTAGTCACTATGTATATAACAGTGTGTCAATTATTACTACTCTGTGCTCTGTACAGTAACATTTGTTGAATGCCCTCCCTATCTGCAAGGCCAGGCTACACCATTGGAGCTCTCCAGCTAGTTAGGAAAAAATAGATTCTTTAGAGTCACTAGTATAAAAGAGAAGAAGAGAGTTGTAAGTAGTGTGAGCAGGTTTAAAGGGCTGGATTAATTCTAGTAAGATTTTTTTCTTAGGAAAGTGAAATATGGGATGAACTTTGAACTGTGATTAAAAATTTAATGTAAGTGAAATAAATAAATACTTCAGAGGTATTTATTTATTTATGACTCAAAATACATCTTATCTTATTCTTAAGGATTAGGAGGGTCAATTATTTCTATGTCTAGTTCAAAGAAACTTACTAATCAGGCCTGTCAGTTTATCACCAGTCTTCAGTATTCTATGGCAATGTCGTTGTAAGCATGTAATAGTCCAGGTGCTTCCCCCTTTCCTCTTGTAGTGCTCTCTTATATATGAATGACGATTTTGAAGGAGGGGAATTCATATTCACTGAGATGGATGCCAAGACAGTGACTGTAAGTAAATCTATTCTTGCAAATTTATTTAACATTTTTTTATCTCCATCTTGCCATTTTTTAAGGACTCAGATCGTTGGATTTCAAATATTTCTGAGCTCGAGAATTCAAGAGGTGGAAAGAGGCCCAGTAAATGTATACATCATAAAATAATAGAAATGGAACCATCAATAAAAGGTTTCCAGTTCTTTTTATAGATGGGAAAATTAAAGAATAGAGGTATTAAGGATTTGTTCATTTTCATATAGCTAGTTAAATTAGACTTGGTTCATTATCATATAGCTAGTTAAGTTAGACTTGGAACCAGAACCTTGATCTTTTAATTCTTTGTCAAGTAATCTGATGGAAATAAAAATACCAGTTCGTAAGTCACCCAAGCCTAGGACAAGTCGAATGATTCTACAGACCTGCTTTCAAGTAACCTGGCATTGCAAATGCTTGGACTGAAAGTTGGCCTTTAGACCGCTAGTTATCAAATTATCGTATTTGTGTGCATGTATATGTGTTTGTATGTATATATGCGTGAATGTGTGAGTACTTGTGATTGTGACTGCAGGTAAACCCATACCTGCAAATTGATTTGTACACATTCATGTATGCATATGAGTGTGTTTGTGTGTGTTCACATGACATGCTTTGAATGAGATTCTAAACATACCTTCATAGGTAAATATTGAAAGTTGAATTCAACCACCATATTCCTGAGTAAACTGAGGCCTTTGGAAAATCAGCCTAACGAAAACTTATAGACCACATGGCCAATGTCTTTTGGTCTTAAAGCCCAAGAGCATACTCCATGGAAGAAAAACAGTTTTGCTAATTAAGGAGATAATTAAATTATAAATAGATTATGAATATCTCTTCCCTTCATACAAAATCTAAATAGTTGGGGCATGCATATAATAAACTTTAAGGATTTAGTATTATATAAGCTATTTTCCACATTTTTTCTTAGTTTTATGGTTTTCGCCTCATATTTTGCAGCTTTTTCTTAATAGTGAAACAGCCATTTACCATTCATGACATACCACTGGAGTATAACACATGATATTCGAAAACTATATGTTACTGAATTTAAAGGAGAAACCTACAGAGATTCTGGTTAAAATTCTCTAGAAACATTATTATAACTAAGAAATAACATTTCTTACAGTTTAATACAATAATGTATATTTAAAAGTCCATGATGCCCTACACTTTTAATAAAAAGAAAAAAAGAAAAGCTTATGTATTAACATGGGAGTATTTTGATGCTTCGTGATCTGGGAAGTTAAATCAAGATTGATGGTCCAGGTTGGAGTTTAAAATTCCCATACAAAATTTTCATTTTTTGAAGAGCCTCTGAGCAGAAAAGATTTGATTTCTGAGCTCTGCTAACACTAAGATTCAAAAAGGCATTTCACACAGTTGGAAAGAAAAAGCAGACAGGTGGTGGTTGAAAAGATTTCTTTGCTTCTAGTCCATCTCGTGGCCAAATTTGGAAATGCTCAGTGCTTGAAAGTAACTAATCCTTGGAATACTATGTATGAGTCAGTAATTCATTAACTGATTAATGCAAGTTAATGGAAATTCTTCTTTTTAAAGATGTGAAAGCAGACAATGCTCTCCTTTAATAGAGCTATCTTTTTAAGAGAAAAGTGTAACTGTTTTAAAAATTACTGAATCTAATTTCCCCCCGAAATAGTAAAATTAATTAAAACAATATTTTCATTCAAAAGCTCTAAGTTGGGAGATTTATCTTCCCAAATTAGTTCTACTTCACATTAATGCATATGGTAGAGTTCTTAGGGCATTGCGTAATAAAAATTCTTAGGTAACCAGTCCCAATAACAAAGAGAAATAGACAGTTTTCCTTTTCAGCTTTTCTTCCTTTTACTCTGGAGGGACAAATGAAGTGAGAAATAACCTAATTTGGGGCTACACAAGGAGATAAAGTCTTCTAAGTCCTTTATTTAAAAAAAAAAAGCTGCAAATTATATAATTAACAATGGTGGCTGAAGGTTTACATTTATTCAAGATAGGTCTGGCACAAAGTCTTCTCCAACATGTAATCATCTGTTAGATGGAAAGCAAAAGGAATTTTATCATACTTGGAAGATACATGGATTATTTCAACAGCAGCATTTATTTGTGGAACATGGGTATTTAGGGATTTTGGTTTCTCTGTGCAAGTTTCAAAAAGATAAAATTTAATGAGTTCCATTTGCTTCATGAAAAATGAAATTCACTTTGGATCTGTGTTCCTAAAGTATGTTTACAGTCATTTATCTACACTTCAGAACATATTTTCCTGTAGAAACAGTATCAACAGTGGAGCTTGTTTATTCCTCCAGGTACCTGATATATAACAGGTGACACTCTCTCTTTGATAAGATTAGTTCTAGAGACTTTTGTGAGCCCACACACTTATAATCAATTCCAACTGCTTCAGGCAGTTGATAGCTTCTTTTGCTAAAGTTTCTCAAAGTTCTTCATGTGTAAAAATGCTTTCATTCTTCCAATTTCATCAGAGAGAGAGAAAGAGAGAGCATTAAATCGTCCCCATGCCTTTTCTTTAGTATTATGAGATGTTGTTGCCAAGATTCAGTAAAATCACATAGAAGCAGCAGCAACCACTTGTGGTCGAGTCTGACCAGCATCAGGGAATGAGCAGCCAGAAAACTTGAAATGAGACCCTAAAGCCGTATGTACATGAAAGCTTCTCTATCCTATGGTGTATTTGTCTGGCGTTATTTGTTTTGCTATTTCTATGTGGACATGTACAACAATTTCCTTCTTCAGAAAAACGAAATCAGACTGATACCGAGGGCACCTGTAACTACTGAACTCTCTAGATTTACATCAGAAAAGTCACCTTGGTAAAGCTGCTTAAGAAAAGCAGCTCTCTGGCAAAGACAAATCACTCCTCGATTATTATGAATAGAAGACTAATCAAAACTGTTTACCCTGCTCTTCCCTTAAGCGTGCGCGAGCACACATGCACACGCACACACACAAACGGATCCCCTGGGTCTCAGACTTTTTGACTCTTCCTACTACTTTTGACTTTCCACGTGTGGGTGACACATCTGGGAATGTTGGGTAACAGCCAAGGACTTCAGGGTATTTTCCAAATATCCCTCTTGAAACTGGCAGTGAAAAAGCTTAGCCTTCCCATTTTATTCCCCCAAATTCTTCTAAATGGCATGCATCAAGTCATTTCAGAAAATAGCTAGTTAGAATGGAGCCGTCTTATCATCTAGAATGGTTGGTACCACTTCATTTGCCTTTACTTTTCTAAGCTCTCCTATGTAATGAGTAAAGTTTCTGTGTTTCTCAAGAAAGGAAGATGAACTCTACTTATGTCACACACTTCTTTAAACATGGAAGCAAGGCCCCTAATATAGTGTTGCTTTTAAGCTCGCTCAGTTTGGAGAGCCTGCTCGTTTGACCTAAAAATCTGGCTTGGGCCACCGGCAATTTCTCTTTTCCCTTCTACCCTTCTAAATGTTACTGGACAGGTCCACCTGCATGATGCACAAGCTCGGAAGGACTGTGTCAGTCCTTTCGGAGCCCTGGAGGCCATGAATGGGTCACCCCAAGAGGTAGTGTGTTCTCATGACTGGAGATATTAAAACAGTGGCTGAGGACCACTGGGAGAGAATATTGTAACGGGAATTCAGTTATCATTTGAGATTAGACTTGACTTCTTTCAATCTCTGTATTGTGAAAACTATATGAACTCTAAATGTACAATTAAAGAATTAGAAAAGGTGCATCCATGGAACCACTACCTAGATCAATACTAAGAATTTACCAGCACTTTAGGTGTCCCCTTGATTTGTTTTTGTCATTCCACAAATATTAAATGTACATCTACCTTATGCCAGATGCTGTCCTAGTGCTAACGTTTGAGAAGTGAATTAAAAGAGAGAGCCTTTGCTCCGTGGAGTTTTTTGGCTATCAACATAGCATGTGTTGAGCAATTACTACATGCCATGGACTATGCCAACCATTTTACCTGAATAATTTTATTTTCTGAATTAGATATTATGTTGACTTTTTCTTTGTTTTACAGATGAGGAGATTGTAATAATCTACATCTTCTTCAACCTCAGGATTCCATTATCTTTTATTATTTGACCCAAATAATCCTATAGAAGTATAGAGAAGGGGGTTTTGTAGGGATGTTTATGACATAGGAATCGAGAGTCTAATTTTCACTTTCTTTCTCAGGCCTCTATAAAACCAAAGTGTGGGCGTATGATCAGCTTCTCATCCGGAGGAGAGAACCCACATGGGGTAAAAGCAGTCACCAAGGGCCAGAGGTGCGCTGTTGCTCTGTGGTTTACTTTGGACCCACTTTACAGAGAACTGGTGAGTTTCTGACCCACCCGGAAAGCCAATTAGATGCCCCATGGACCTGTTTCATAAACTTAATGTCTGAAAAGTTCTTCATGTCGATCCCTTCAGGAACTTTAGAGATCATGGAAAACAAACAAACAAACTTTTGCAGATTTTACAGAATCCTTCCTCTCTGGTTTCTAACACTGGCTCTGTTTTCTAAGCAAGAACAAACTCTCCTGTTCAGATCCATTACCTAGCAATTATGCATCTAATGTTCGTAGTGTGAGTTTGAGGGAAAGAAGAGGGACTATGAAGGCAGTTCTTAATCAGATGGGTTCTAATAAGTGAACGTTTATGGAATTCGATATATCAGTGATATCCAGCAGTCCCTAATTAGTCTTGAGCCTTATTAAGAAATTGTAGCATCAGGAGAGAGAGGAACGACTTTCTGCAGGTCACCAGGAAGACTGACGTTTTCTCAACAAATCCTTAAAAAGAGCATGGAATAATTTATGAAACATATGTAGAAGAGGGTGAGGGAACCTCAAAGTTTATTATTATTTGTTATTATTAAATTAAATCTTAAATATTAAAATATTGTTCTTATATATTGGAAGGAGCCGAGGACACAGCCTGGATAAGGGGCTATGATCTCATCCTGGAGGCCTTTGGGCAGAGGTTATAATCTCTACCTGCAAAGATGCAGAGGAATGAATTAAGACCAATGAATGGGTTGAAGTCCCTGAGAGGAAAATTTGCACTCAGTATAAGGAATAACTTTCAAATCATCACCACTGTTTGGTGGAATTCTCTGCTTTGGAAGTAGTGAGTTTCTCCTCACTGGATGGCTTCAATCGAAGCCTCAGCAGCTACTGGGCGCAGAATGCTGAGATTGAAATGGAAACTTCATAGCAAGGGCTCAACTGGAGAACTTCAGAGTCTCCTCCAGCCCCGAGTGTTGGAGCTATGAAAGCCTAGTCTTTAAAATGGCATTCTATCCAATTTTCGTCTTTCGATCCCTAAATTGAATCCAATTCAGTCAGAAACTGTTTATAATTATTTCTGCCTTCTCATATACTTGTTGCCATAAAACCTAACTCACAGAGATTTTAGGCCACATTATCTAAGCCTTCTTTCACATATTTAACATATGTTTACAGAGGATCCACTACATGCCTGAGAAACTCTGCTAGGCAGGCCCTGCGGGTATGAGGGTGAATAAAACATTGTCCCTGACCGCGAGGAGCTTGGAGAGGTTGACAAAGAAGTAGACAGTGAGAGGACAGAAGTATAAGTTCTGTAGAGGGAATCAAGGAGGATTTATATGAGCTCATTCCTAAAAGAGAAGATGATAGCCAGGCATAGAAAGAGAAAAGAATGGTCCCATCTGAGGAAACAGAGGACGGAGGGTTCTGTAAACCTCAGGGGGCATGGAGCAATCACCTTCACCTGTAATTCCTTTCTTTCCTTGTGCTTTTCCACCTCCAAATGCCAGCATGCCCCCAACAGCACTCCTTCTGTACTAAGGAACCCGGATAAGTGAGCAGAGAGTGAAGACAACTTGTTGAAAACTTGCCTCACTCTTTTCTCTCTTTAGTGTTCAATTCAGCAGATGGTTAATCTGTTTTATTATTCAGTATCCCAGCCTTCTCTTCAAGATATTTTCTATCAAAATTAGCTATCATGAAAAAAAGTTCTCTTTGCTCCTTCCTAACTAGGAAACGTCAGTGCTGATGTCCCCTCTTCTGAAGGGCAAGTTATTAGGAAACATCTCCAGTCTCTGGGCAGTAGCGACATCTAGTGGCCACAGAAGAGAATGACCAAAGCTTCTTAAACTACTAGAAAATTTAGCTGGTGATGCTGATTCCCAGACTTCGATTCACATTGGAATTACCTGGGGAAACTTTACCAACTGCTGACATCAGGCTCCCACTCTCAGAAATTCTGATTTAATTGGTATGGGGTTCTGGATACCGGAAATGTTAAAAGCTCCCTGGGTGATTCTAATGTGCAGCAAAGTTTGAGAATCCCTGAATTAGTCACCTCTTCTTAGATTGAATCCCTGAGCAAACAAAGTCCACCTATGAATAAATCATCAGAGCTGGTGACTTCTGTGTTTGTTATCAATTATTTTAAACTCATTCAATTTTCAAGGAGTATTTAGCATTATAAACTCTTAAGGATGCCCAATAGTAGAAGCTTCAGTTCCTTTATGTATAGTTTTGGCTCTTGAACCTCTTTCCTTTTGGGAGAGACACAATTGCAACAGTGTCTCAAAGCAATCAGACCTGAAGGTTCTGTGTGTACTGTCAATTTGTGAATTAGCAAGTTGTTCTCTCCATATTCATAAAGTAGTACTCAGGCATTTTACACAGACATCATGACAACAATTAATTTTTTGTTATTTAGTATATTTTGTTATTTAGTATATTTGGTCCTTTTGTATATTTTGTTATTTAGTATATTTGGTCCTTTTAGTTGTCTTTATGTCAACATCATTACAAGCTCTCAAATGAAAGGGGCTTTGTTTTCAAATCGTAAAATAGTTATTTTTATAACTTACTGTGCTGGACATTGTGCTAGGGACTACCTATAAGGGATACAAACTAGGTAAGACATAAGCCCTATTTTCAAGGAGCTCGAAGTCAAAAGTAGAGAGGTAGCACAGGGCCCCACGTAATTAAAACACAAGACAAACTTTGGGAAGTATTAGAGGCAAATAAATGGCATGGGACTTAGAGGATATGAAGAAATCGGAAAGGCTTTATTGAGAAGATGGTATTTGACATGAGCCTCAATGGATGAGCACAGTTTGTTCGAGGAGAGGCGTTTTAGACAGAGAGACCCCTTCATCCACTTTTACATTTATTCATCAAAGAGAATGGAGGCCTTGCCAAATGTCAGTAGCTTTTCTGGGCACTGGAAATATCGCAGTGACCAAAAATAAAAATATAAAATGCCCCACAAGATTCCTGCTTTCGTGGAGCTTACCTTCTAGTGGAAAAAGACAGACAATACATAAGTCAAAGAATAAATAATTGAGAGATTTTCAGATAGTGAGAAATGAGGTGTGGAAAAGGGACCAAGGTAACTAAGGAGAAAGTAAGGGGGCGGGGGTGGCAAACTGAGCGTTCTCCAGAGGAGTGACATGTGAGCTGCCGCTTGGGTTGTAAGAAGAAACTGACTGTGATAAAGACCTTGGGAAGAGTATTCTAGGCCCAGAGACAAGCAGGAGCTTGGAATGGTGGAGAAACAAAGAAAGCCAGAGTGACCGGAACATGGTAAGCAAGATGAAGAGTTTGCAAGGAGGCCGCGGATATGGCCGGGGTCAGACTCAATGAGCTGGCCGAGAAATATTAATTGTATTCTAAATGTGGGATCAGCCATGTACTCATCCCACCAACCCCACGACTACTAGAGTAGTCGTGGAGAAGGTGAAAAAATATGGAAGGTTTGAGATAGCATTTGGAAGTAGACCAACTGGGCCTGCTGGTGGATGGACGTGGGGGATAAGAGAAAACATAGGATATGATGGAAGCAGCCAGAGAAGCGTTTAGCTTAGACTAGGACTAGAGAATTCTGAGAGTACTGTATCCAGAGACCCTGAAGTAAGTTAGGAAGTTGGAGTGTAAGGTGAGGTGAGAGAGACAGATGAGCTGAAAAGAGAGAACGGTTTAAATTAGACAGCTCCTTATAAACACACCAAGAAGACTGGACCTGGAACTTCAGGCAATCGGAACACATGCAAGAGTTGTGAGCAGTGAGCAGAAAAGTGACGTAGTCCTGGTTTTAAGTGCAGGAGCTCCATTAGAAGTATATGGGAGTGGGGTGTGAAACATCAATTCGGAAGCTGCTGTAGCAATTGAGTTAAGAGATGATGAGAGCCTAAACCCGTGGTTTTCAAATGGGAGAAGTTTTGCCTCCTAAGGCACATTTGACAATGTCCAGAGACATTTTTGGTTGTCACAGCTTGGGGGCTGATGTTACTGGCTACCTGTAGTAGGTAGAGGCCAGGGATGCTGCTAAACATCATACAATGCACAAGACAACCCTCACAGCAAAGAATTATATGGTCCAGAATGTCAGTAGTGCCAAGGTTGAGAAATCCTCACCTAAACTAAGGCAACAGTAATTTGTACTGAAGAGAAAGGGGCAGAAATAGGAGGTAGAAAAAAGAGGACTAAGTAATTTATCAGGTCCAAGAAACTGTGGTCAGGCTTTTGGGGCAAATAGGTGAACAGTGGAGGTCTTCACCGAGAGAGGGGATTGATGAAGAGGAACAGTGTAGGTCTGTGGGGAAGAAAATGGTGAATTCACCTTGAACACGGAATTGCAGGACTGAGTTAGAAATATCTATCGCACCTCAACATAAAAAGGATGGTAAGCAGTTGAATATATAAGACTTCTTGACAAGAGGGAGATCTCGGAAAGTAATTGCTTAGGACACAGAGAAGTCAGGAGAAGGCTCCAGTGTAGGGATGCAGATGAGATTCAATCCTTAACTGGATTTAGCATCCACTCCATGTACAGATGGATGCCTGGAAGTGTTTGGGAAGCATCTGCCACTGGAGCTGATTATTATTCTTGTAACAAAAATGTGTAAATTGTCTTTTTTGCAGGAGCGAATACAGGCCGATGAAGTGATCGCAATCCTGGATCAAGAACAGCGAGGGAAGCATGAACTGAATATCAACCCAAAGGATGAGCTTTAAAAATGAGAAAGAATGTTCTATCAGATATTTATTTAAATTGTTAATCTTATGAGAACCTTTTTATTTTTGTACAGAGCCATGGTATAAATTAACAAACAGGTTAATATGAGTCCTCTGATCTCCCTTCTGTTCCTAAGGATGTTTGCTTCGCCTCAGTCTGTCTGTCTGTCTGTCTTGGTTTTTCATCAGTTCACCTCTCAAAGCTCAGCCTCCCCCTTCCCACTACACACACACACACACACACACACACACACACATTTCATTTGCTATAGCTCCAAAAGCTCAAACAGAAAGAATAATTTCATTCTTGTTAAAACTACAGCTTTCGTACATGCTCTGGTTCTAAAGTTAGCTTGTGATTTGGTTTCAGAAGGCCTTTCTGCCTCTGAGACTTTTAGCCACATCCTCTCACAGTGCTGATGGCCATGAGCTTGAGCCTGGGACTCCCTGGCGGTGGTGGGCTCTGCACTGCCTCACATATCACTGCCCTATGGGTCCCCAGGCCCTGAGAAGGAACCACTCTGATGAGTACTACATGAGGTGGAGGAACCCAGCCTTTCTAGGGCCTTAGTGGAGTTTTTGGCTCTGGTATTTTCACCAGAGAATAAACTTACACTGGAAGCTTCAATTCACCCTCCACGATGCTCCAGAAAGGATACCCTATGAGTTGTATCTTTAATAACTTTTTTAAGGGGTTTGAAATAGAATGTCTCTTCACTCCAGTGACTTGAATCCTACCTGAATCTGGGCACGATTGCCATGTAGCCTTAGTAGGGTCCACTGGTGAGAGAGGCATTTTGTTCTTAAGTAAGAAATATGGATTTCTGATTGATTCCAGTCTTTATCTGCATGGATATTGGTGGCCCTTCCTCCTTGCTGCTGTCCAGGGTGCAGCCTTGTTCTTGCATCTGATTTGTTTAATAAAGGGAGCCTTATTTCAATATCTGGCATTTGTTTTTCTTCTCCCAGAATTTTGGTTTATCTTTAGGTAATGGTTTTGAAGTCCCAGGGAGTTTTGGGGACAACCCCAGGGCCATGTTGGGCCATGATTAGTTTTGCTGGCAGGTGCTTGGGGGCCAAAAAAAAGGTGGGAACACTGCTTTTGAAGAACTAGAGATGGTCAGCAAGCAGTGGTGTTCATTCAGACAACTTCTGGTCCTTGGCACCAATTCTAAAGATGTTGCAAAGACATTGTTCGAGGTGGACCTGGGTTGTTCTGGCCTAGGGGAGCCTGTTACATGAGCTGGTGGGAGATCACCTGCCTCTGTGATGGGCAGTGTGGGGTAGTGGCCCTTCAGAAAAGCAGCAAATAAAGACATTTTCTAAAAATCACATTTACCTTCTGCCATTTATGATCTTGGTTAGTGGTAAGAACATTTACCCTCTGAGACTGAAAAAAAATGAGTCATAGTGATTTATGTGCTGTTTTTCCCCCAATCTTCTATTGCATTTTCATCATGGATGAGTGGAAAGAGCATTTGATTATAATCCCAGCCTGATCAAATATGTCCTGCTGTGTGGCCTGGGGCTGCTTTCTTTCCCTTTCTGGGCTTCGGTTTTCTTCTCTGTAAATAACATAAATTGGTTGTATTTGTTTCCAAAAGCCCTCCTTCTTGCTTTAAATACAAAACGAAGCAATAAAAAACAAAAGACAAAACTGATTTGGGAAATATTCACAAATATAAGCAAATTTATTTCTACTAACACTTTGAGAATTGTGAATAGGTTCATTATATGTACATGTGATTTTAAAACTTTGAAATGATTTTAGGGCTAAAAGTTCCTGAGCTTTGAAAAAGTAGATTGTTATTTGTTTGCCGTCTCATTGAGAAGTGTTTGTAGGCACTCAGATTTGCTGATAGGAAGATCTGGGCAGGATCTAATGCCTATTTTCTGGCAACAAGGCATCAACAAAGAAAACAGTCTTTGCCTCTTTGTAGTTCTCACTTCCTGGGTGCTATGGGTACTCAGGGAGAGACAGAGGCTTCACTGATTCTGACATTCGGCCCCACAGAAAGTAGACGAAGGCCTCAATAAACGTCCTCATAGTAGATCCATATCTTGTGCCCTTTGCTGACAACAGAGGAGTTATTCCTGTTTTGTAGGTTACCCATGCTATGTTACTCCTGGGACATCGTGTATGCAGTAAAGCATTTATATTTTTAATCTGCTCCACATCAAACCATACATTATTTCATTCAAATAGTTAGGGAGTGTCATCAGATGACTTTAAAAATTTGAGCTCGGAGATTACCATCTGTGTGCTATATAGTCCCTTCTGGAGACAGATGGAAAAGCCCATTTGAGTTTTTTAGAGCTGAAGGAATGAAGGAGACCATAGAAGTTACAATTTAATTCCATCTTTCCCCCTGGGAGGAAACTGAGGCTCAGAGGTCAGGAAGATCATTTCATGGTTACAGAATTCAAGCAGACAGAGCCTGGGCTGCTGAACTGCATTACACAAGAATGCCTGGCCAGGGGGCTTGTGGGTGGTGGAATCCTGGCACAGGGCAGTGTCCGCTAGAGGAATAGCTGCCTTTTTCTACTTGCTCCCCAATCTGTGGACCAGCAAGACTGTGCCTGTCCAGAAGGGGTGCCTTTTTCTAACTCACTCAACAGTACTGGCTTGAGGCGGCCCAGCCTTTAAAGCCCAATTTTTATGACTTCAAGTCTAGGATTCTTCATCTATCTCTTGCAGAACTACCACTTACTTGCCTTAATGACTATCCCACCCTTGTGTAAAAAGCCTGAAGTTTCACAAAGCTTTTATTTTCACCTATATGATTGCACTGAATGCTTATAACACAGAGCATGTTCACACACACGGAACCCCAGGACGTATTCTGGGCATGGATTGTGATGCCTATTTTGCGGATGAGGAAGTGAAGAGCAGTGACATGAGGGCCTGTGATTAGCGAGCTTGGAGGACCCCTGTCTGAGGTAGAGAAGCACAGTCTTTTGAACAGAAGAAGAGAAAAAAAAAACACCAGAGTTGTTTGCTCCCTTGACCATGCTTCCAGACATGTCCAATATAAAATAATCCATTAATATAAAGAAAGAAAGTTTGATCTTATGAAATCTAAACTTTTTCCTCTCTTTTATTTTCCTTCTGGGTGATGTGTGTAGGCATAGTTGCCCCTCTCCTCAGAGATATAATGAATGTGGGTTGTACAATTCAATTAGATCAACGCCATTTTTGAGCAAACACTGTGTGCCAGGCTCTTGTTTCATGAAACTCACAAAAAGGAAGCCGGTTCCAGTCAGGAGTCATTTTCCTCCCCAAGCAGAAGGAATCTCAAACGTAAATCTCCTCTTGGGAAAACACTGACATGGGACAGAGTGATATTCTTGCATGTGTAATGTGCTTGCTTCAGAGCCCTGACTGTAATTTGTTTGACAAGGAAATTTTAGTTGAATGCCGTCTTCATCATTACTGTGGACGTAGCATTTTTTTTTTTTTTTTTTGGGAACTTATTTAGCTGAGGAGAAGCCATGGGATGAGTCAGTACCATTTAATAATACATACCTATGAATTTTAATTGAAGAACAAATGATGAGTTATTTCACATAAGATAGCCACAGGGAACAACTCCCTCACTGACGTCAAGAAAGGAGTTAATGGGGGCCACCTCGCCACTTTCTTATGCCAAAGAATTAAACTTCTGAGGTGACTGACAATGGTGTGGCTGACAAGTGGAAAAATACTGAATTGTTCCCACATCCAAGGCTCTGAGGAAACAGGAGCCGTTTGGCAAAAAAAGAAACCTAAACCATAAGTGAGACTGGGCCCATGGTATGATCCTTCTCCACCTCCTGCCAAGAAGCTTGTGATGTGAAGTGACCTCCCCGCATAGTCCCACAGCCCACCCACAAATCTTATATTTCCAGGTAATTTCACGTTTCCATTTTGTTTTGGACCTGGTTGATTTCTTCAGACACATTGAGACAAGTAGCACCAACCACTCTGTGACCTCAATGCTAGGTTGGAGCTGCAGGCTCAGACTGTCAGAGATTCCTCTTTACCTCCTCCCCTCGGTAAATCACGATGTTGTCCGTGCCCGCTGCTGGCCTCTGAGGCCAGATGACGTCAAGTCTGGAACAATCTGATCATCGATCCTGGCTTGTTCTGCAGTGAACGATGACATCAGCCATGTGAAAAGTTGGCTTAGTGAGTCACATCTTTCCTCAAAGATCCTGTTAAGACCCCACAGGAAAAACAAACAAAACATTCTGGCCCTCTCTTCCTGACACACACTGCTAGGGAGGGAAAATCTGAACACTCTATTCATTCAAGATACAACACACCTTTTCTGGCCACCTTATATGATACACTTTGGGGTGGGCAGACAAACAAGCCTCTCCCTTCTTTTCCTTGGTAGACCACACAGAGGAGGTCGAGGAGAGAGCAGAGTTGGACCACCTTCCTAAGCCCTCTTCCTAAGTCTTCTTCTGCTCTAGAAAGGTGACCAACTGCCTCCATCATCTGAGTCTCCACTTTAACAGTGAATTGTACAACAGCCATCAGTCTGGGGACTCTTGCCCTTGGCCCTTCTCGTCAGGTTTAGGTGCCTTCCTTCACAATGCAGTGTGATGAGATCGGCCCTGGAAACCCTATCTAGACCCTAATTAAACACTCTCCACTCTTCCCAAGTTGATGTTTTTACCTCTGAATAACTATCTGATGGAGGGTGGGGATAGAAATGTGAACCAGACGAGAAGCATTACCTGCTATGTCTCATCTTTTTCCACTTGTAAATCATATATCCCATTGTTTCAAAGAGCTATAATCATGGTTGGCATTTATAAAGCTTTTTTATGGCCTTGAAACACTTGGCAATCATACATAACTACACAATTATCTTGAGAGACACATCTTGAATTTGCAATCTTGAATTTGTAAACAGAAAATGAACAGTCACAGGGGAAGTGGTATAGTAATGCTCTGGTCATTCATGAATTTTTACTTCAGACAGTTTTTGAGTGGCTACTAGGCAGTGTGTTTAGGGAGGGATTCAAAAATGAGGAAGACTTTATCCTTTTTCTTTAAGGAATTCAAAGTGAAGTGGAAAAAAACAGATATAAACAAATGGGAAATAGAAAATGAGATAAGTGCTATGGCAGAAGGGTTATGACAGAGGCAAGTACACAAAAGGCCATGTTAGTTCAGAGAAGGGAGTGGCTGGGGAAGGAGGAAGGTAAGAGTTAAGCTGGGTCTTGAGGCCTGTTCTGCCTCAAGAACCAATAAGCAGAAACGAACCATATGACCTCTCATTTCACCACAGTCCTCAACTGAAAAAGTGCCGAATTTGGACTGGATGGTTTCTTGGGCTCTAAAATATTAAGCTTTCAGAAAAGTTGAGAGAGTTCATATTAAACGCAGTGTAAAGGTGGGGTGGAATGGGATCTTGACTACAGATTGATCTGGGAAAGCACTTTAATGAATGCTGTAAAAACCCAAATAAATACCAGTTAAAAATGCCGTTTTATTCTATTCCCTTGTAAGGAGGTATATTTAAGTGGGTGGGGTGTGACCACCTAGGAAGATGCTTCTTACTGAAAAGCAGAGGAGCAGCAGGCATCAGAGAAAGCTGAAGTGAACCCCATCATTCAGAACAAAGTCAGCAAGCTCTCCCAGCGGCATTTTCTTCTGCCCGAAAGTCCAAGAAACTTGTAGTCTATACGCCCTAGAATCAGTCTAGTCGCTCAAATCTTTATACTTTTATCTCGGAAATGGAAACAACGAGGATATTCCAGCCTACCTGATGATATGTAGGTGTGTTGTCTGAAAAGCCTAAAGTGTTTGGTTAAATCGATCAAGGCTTCAGTTAAACCGGAAAGGTAATGCTTACCAAGGACATGCCTTCCAATGGCAAACAGAGAACAGGGTTTCAGAAACCTTGGGAATCCTTAGAAACAAATCATTCCCAAGTTAAAAACAACAAC